ACTGGGCACCGGGGTACACCCAGACTGGGTAAGACAGAGGTCACCCCTGCCTGGGCGCCAGACCCATCCAGCTGCTTGGAGCTCAGGGACTAGGCCCCAGCCAGACTGCAGAGACTCCTCTGGTTACCCTTTGCAACCAAGGGCCCCCAGACCCACAATTACACCTTTCAACTAGCTAGGTACCTCTTTGCATATTTATATCCATATTTCTAAATAATTGATTTTTAAAAAAAGATTGATTTCTGATTAAGACATCTAACTGAAGGGTGAAGATATAATGCTTTTACTTGTTTTTCCAATTCACACACATACATTCTGTTCTGATGGTTCCATCTACGATTTTTACTTTGATCTCTATTCAGCTAAAATTTGTTTATTTCTATTTTATTTTACTTTATTTATTTTTGTGATGGAGTTTCACTCTGTCACCCAGGGTGGAGTGCAGTGATGCAAAACTGTCTCACTGCAACCTCCATCTCCCAGGTTCAAGNTGGCAATAGTTGCTTTCAGATTTCAGGGAAAGATGACATCTTTGTAAACAATTCTAAGAGTATTTAGCTCTCCTCCAATAAAATATTGTGAGGATTGGATTTCCAAAGAGCTTTGTTTTCACTACTCTGCTTGAATACACCCGATAACCAGCTTCACTGTCATACAACAACTTCTCAGTAAACAGCCCCGCTCAGCTATTGCCATGAGAAAACTGTGATATTGTGCTCTAGCTGGCCTAGATTTAAGACCTGAACAACATCATTTTATAAAAGACAAAGCTGTTTTTTAAAATAAGTTATAATGGCTGCCCCATTCTCCTCACAATAACTGCTGGCCTTGGCTTCGGTAAATAAAACTGCTAGTTTGCTCTGCAAACTAGCCACTGTGTAAAGCTGCTTACCTTTTCTTATCAGTAACTGCCAGAATTGCTAGCCTTTGCTTACCGGCAATTGCCAGACTAAGAGCCCAAACTAATGCCATCTTGGCCCCTGCGACTTGTAATAAGTAACTAAGATCTGTGACTTCCATTACTACCCAGACAATGTGTAAACAAATGTTTACCTTGACTTCTGTAAACCACTTAAGTAACAAATGGAATGACGAGAATCCCCTGGCCCTTGGAATATCCAGAGCCCTCATCTCCGCCCAGGAGGTGATTTACAGAATCCACTAGCCCTTGGAATGTCTGAAGCATTTTCGTCCCCATCCCCGCTCCTCATCCCCACTCCCAAGGTGGTTTTGGTTGGGTATAAAAAGTCTTGGCACCCTCCTTTAGATGCCACAGGTTGGAGAGACATGAGTCCTCTGTGGTAGCCGGCAATAAAAACCCTGTAATTTGGCATACTTTTGTCTTGGTGTTAATTTTCTATGCTCGGTCCAGTATAACAAAACCACATGTCTGCGTGAACTGAAGAAACAGAGCCCCTGCACTGGGCTTTCACCAGGGCAGGCCCTGGGGACACAGAGCTCAGGGCATCCTTGGGACTTTCATCAGGGACCCACCCCCATTTCCTGAGAAACTGGCAAAGTTATGCAGTTCCTGGAGCCCTGGAATGAATCCTAAACTGGGTGTGGTGACAGGACGGCAAGGCTTAGAAGTCTGAGGGGACACCTGGACATCAGTATGCACAGGTAGCAGATAAAAGACTGCACATTCTTCTTCTTCCAACACCTCTGTCCACCCCACAAAAATGAGATAAAACCACAAAGAAGCCAAAACGGAGAGCTGGAATGGAACGTCTATGAAAAACACATCCAGTTCTAGCCTTAAACCAATTTCACACCAAATAGCTTTAAATCTTTTTCCAAAGCTCTGATGCCCAAATTGGAAAATAATTTCCCTTTTTGAGCAAAAGGCAGCTGTTAAAGAAGCAGAACCTGAAAATCCAGTAGCTCATAAATTCTCGTATGTGCACAAATGTTGCATTTGTCTGAACACACGCAGAGCAGAAATCTACATTCTTTCCGGGAAGGTCATCTCAATTCTGTCTCAGAAATTACTGTGGGTCACTTTAGAATGTACTTATTATCGCCACAAAACAGACTCCCTGGCCACACACTGCCAGCACCAGGCTGCTATTCCCTGAGCCCGAGAAAGTCTCTTTTTTGCAGAAAATTAGCCTAGGGCCTCAGAATGGCTGGCGCCCCGGTCCTGGCACCCAGGAAACTACAGGCACTGCTTCACCCAGGAGCTAAGGGCTTTGACACCAATGGAAGAAGGACACCTTCCACACACAAACCTCTTCCAGGGAAAAAGAGCGGTGGGAAACGATGGTGGGGTGGTGGCCCAGGAGGAAGTGCCTCAAGGCTCCTACACTAGCCAATGCCATCGATGCCCCTAGCCCATCAGAATGGAGCGTCACCCTCTCACCCTAGCCCTGAGGCCAG